AGTCAGCCATAAGACACACGGAAGATCAGTATGTGTAAAAATTCAGTGAGCAGTGTAGCTGTTTTAGGTACTGCACATTTCCAACAGCTGCTACTGTGCATCACATTTTTTTGACAAGAGACTACTGAAATTAAATAAGAATTAATATGGAGGCCATATCCAAACAATAAAACAAACTCAATGGAACTCTGAGTCTATAATCAAATGAGTGTTTTTGTAATTGTGTGGCAAGAGTCTATCATGTTCAAAGATTACTTCAAAACAAGCTCATAAATAGCAGCTCATAAGTGCAAGGCGATGAATGACTAAAAGACCGGGGTTGTGTAATCTAAAATGCATTTGGATCACTGAGGAATGCTGAATTTTTTTTTTTCAGGTATGCGTACACATCTACCTGTGCTTTACTGTCTTTCCCTCACCCATGACTATGGAATCACTGCTAGCTAGACATCGTGTGTGGACAGAAAAGCTGTATGAAGTTGTTTTCCCTCCTGAAGAGATGTGCAGTTTATGTACACCACAATACTGCGGCGTGGAGCGATCAGACATAAGCACGACAAACTGGCAAACAGGTTTAGTATTTTTTCTGATGGAGAGAGAGATATTGCAGGTAATAAAACAGCCGTGAAGTGCGAATGCAGGCAAATCCTTTGCTGTTTTATTGTATCTGTTAAATCAGGGGGGAAATAATTGCATTGTATGAGTGCAGACCACAACTTCTGCTGTGTGGTAGTGAGTGATTGTGGAACTGTAAAGGTGTGTGTGTGTGTGTGTGTGTGTGTGTGTGTGTGTGTGAGAGAGAGAGAGAGAGAGAGAGAGAGAGAGAGAGAAAGAACTTGGGCTGGAATCAGGGTAGCTTCTGCTTTATGCCAGAAGAGACATAAAGCTTCACTATGGGAAATATGCGTCGAGTGTGCTGTTGTCATTCAGCGCAGTTTTAGCGTTGGGTGTAGAGAAACCGACGCATGTGGCTTGGTGTCTGGCTAGACAGCGGGCTAGTCAAGTCCACTGTTTGTCTTCCAAAATGATTTTGTTAATACCAGTGATTCTCTTCAATGCTTCAGTCGCGCTTTTGTACACGCAATACTACACTAAAATATCAACTGATTAAGTGATTCATTTATTCATCTTCAGAAACTACTAGAGGTTTGAAATTTTCATAGCATGATAACCTCTAATCACAGTTAGCACAGTATTAATTGGCCATTTAAAAAAGACACAAGCCTGTGGTCAAAACAAAACAAAATACTAATATTAATACTAATATGGAATCTTTGTATTAAAGTCTTTTTGCTTATCCTTGCATATATAACAAAAACAAATAGACAAAAAAAAGAACCATTCATTCTCCATGTCTGCTAAGTAATACTGTCAGAGGACATCTGGAGTAATTATGATTTATTTGCACAGGATAAGTGATCCCTGTACGAATCACAGAGATGGAGCGTCTTCATGATGGAAGTTTTGGTCTGATGACCACGCATACATGTGTACCACATTTTAATACAATATTTGACCTTTATTATAAGCATGTGTTGTAGGGCTTGTAGCTGCACAAGATGTGCTTGATCACTAGGTCACATGACCAAAACGTTTTTAGGCTTCACATGTACTAGGAAGTTAATAAGTTACCCAAGACCCCAAAGACCTTGCTTTTAAACGCCGTCTATTTTACTGCGATAGAATAAAAGGGAGCACTTCCTGGAGTGTCTTTATACTGAAGAAAATACTGGTAAAGTATCCAGTATCCCACAGGATATAATATATATGGGTTCTTTACCAGTATGTCAGGGATTTGATACACAGTACCGTGCAAAAGTCTTAGGCACTCTTTTTTAGTACAAACTTTGTTATAGATGTTTATTTTATGACTTCTACATTATTGATTCAGTACAAAAAACATTTTAGATTTCCAAACATTCGTTTTCCAGCACAAAATTAAATATTACAGAAAAATGTTTGTTTGTCAGTAAAGAAAGCAGCAGATTACATAAGAGAGACATTTCAGACCAAAATATGTAATGAAGGCTGCTGGGTTTTGCTGCAAAAATCAAAGTCTCCAGAAGAACTGTGGCTGCTTCTGCAAGATGCTCAGTAAAACTGCACAAATTGCACCTGAGACTTTTTTTTTTTTTTTTTTTTTTTTAAGTTAAAGGATCATCACACCAAATATTGACTTTCATTTATTATGGTTTACTGCTCTTTATAGTATTTTTTAAATGTAGAAACATTTAATTTCATTATTTTTGAAGGCATCTTGCTCTACAGCATTTCTTTACATGTGCCTAAGACTTTTGCACAGAACTGTATATTACCGTCATTTTATAGAAGGTAAAATACAGTATAATCGGTATTGTACTGTATTATCTATATTTACAGCAAAAGTATTACAGTCTGTAAAAATGACGATTGATTTGGATACTCCTTTAATTATTACACCACCATGAAATACTAGTCCAATCCAAATATGACTTTCAAAAGACATTAAGAATAACATTTCCACAAAATTAGTTGTTATAAGCCTGAAATAGTGAGTGGCAGAAGAAAAATGGAGGGAAACACACTTTAATCTGAATTTTGGAAGTCAACAATAACGTAAATGTCCGATCATATAATCCAATTTTATTTGTATAGCACTTTTAACAATGGCCATTGTTACAAAGCAGCTTTATAGAGATATATAGATTCCGGATATAAATTTTAAATGTACAACTATCCCTAATGAGCAAGCCGGAGGTGATGGTGGCAAGGAGAAACTCCCTGAGACGACAAGAGGGAAACTTGAGAGGAACCAGACTCAAAAGTGAACCCATCCTCATCTGGTGACCCTGGCTAGTGCGATTATAAATAGTTTCTCTTCAATAACTGTGCAATATATAGTCAAAAAGTGCCAATTGTGTTAACAGGAACTTATTAGTATGAGCATTACAGTCATTTCTGTATCCATTAGAGTTTTAACTTTAAGTTTGCCATATCAAACTGAAGTTATTAACTGTTCCATGATGGAGACTTGAGTTTAAACTATTCATAGCAATTGCAGTCTTTAGGTTATCCAAGGAAGAACAGCCACAGCCATCTTTAGGGTGTCTGTGTGGTACCATCCACAGAACCATCATGATTTTTAGGCTGTCCATGTGGGGCATCAGAATGGATCAGGCAGGACTGGAGAGCAGGAGTAGTCAGGATCACTGGTAACTCAGGAGTAGCATGTGTAGCTCGACAGAGAGAGCGATGACGTCAGTCATTTTTACAGACTGTATGTGCCTGTGTCACTACACTGTACTCTACCTCCTTTACCATTAGAAATAAGTTCAGCTAATGTATGTCCTGTCTGAGCAGACATGCTGTAAAGATTCAGTCATATCCTGTGAGCAAAGAGGTTTTGCACTTTCTTCTTTTCTATCGTCTCCCACTGAAACCAAATCAAAACCAAGTATTCAACAAATTGAAAACAGAATACTAAAATAATGAATTTTTTTTTAAAACAAAAAGAACTTGTCAGAAATGCAACACTTCCAGGAAGTTTAGGCAAGTAATTAAGTTTTCATTTTTAAAAGCATTAAAACACAAGTGACCATACTCAAAACCTCCGAATTAGTTTTGTATATAAGCTGGTTTCACAGAAAGGCTTCACTCAAATTTTCAAAAACAAATCTAAACTTTAAAAAATAAGCGATGTAGCAAATGGTGAAAAGCGGCATATGTAACTGAGCAATGAGTCTGCAGTTTCATAGCAACTGATCTGTGTGAAAACAAACCTGCAGTGAAAGTTGTAGGAAGAACACAAAGCCTAACTAATCTTGATGGCCTGAGTAAGTGCTAATACTCAGGAATGCAACAAACATTGCAATAAGGAAATGCAAACTACAAATGATGTACAGTAAATCCACTCAAAATAACCTGCAACATTGTGCCAATAAGACCCAAGCACAAAGACTCAATCACTGTAACCTACACAAGAGGCTCAGCAGTCTGTACCCCTATTGCTTTATCTATATATTCAACACAATTAGTGCTAAAAATAAGATCCTATTGCCAATGCTACACTTCACTTTTGCACAACAATGAGTATTGCTCTTTCCAGTCTTCCCTGCTGTGGGATGTCACCCATCAGTGGAAGCGGTGGACATTTAGAGCTGGCTCTCATCATGCAGGCTGAAGATTGCACTGCCAGAATTCATTGACATGCGTGTACATCTCCAGGAATTGCCTGAAATATTTGTCAGACTCATGTGCCAGCATTTGAATTCACTATTTCATAGGTTTTCTATGTCTTAACAAGGTTTCTGGGGCTGTACAGATTGAGGCCGACAATCAACCGAGCGTTTAAAAGGAGCAGTGCGTCATTTTCAGAGCCCTCTGCTGTCTGAGAGGTGAATTCCAATTGTACTTCTACAGGAGGATTAACAGCAACATCCACTTGATTGCACGTCAGAGCCAACACATCCCTGTCCAGCAGGTTTCCATTCAAACCATGTTTACTGATTTCACAACAGCTATTCTGGGACACGTATATCACTGTGCAGGACATTCGTGTCAGCCATGTTGCGTACACAGACACATAGATAAGGACACACCCGGCCTGACGCCAACAGACCCCACCCAGTCTGTTGAAACTACATATGAATCATAAATTAGCTAGTTTATGCAGCTAGTTTTACCACAGGAATGACACTAATATCTGGACCAAAATCTGAAGAGAAAACAAATCCAGAGTAACTGAATTTCAACATTGTGAATCATATTGTGAACGTCTGCCTTTTTTAGACTAGGTCTCTAACAGGGTTCAACATTTGAATGATTGTAACCCATGAATCTCTGTACAGGGGCCTGTAGCATAGTGTGTCTATAAAATGCACATCTAAACACAAGCAGCCATTCCAGACCGGAATACAGTTTTCCCAAGAGATTTTCTCAGTGACTGAATACACTTTTGCTAAGGCCACCGTTTAATGTGGTGGTGTTTTTTTTTAGCAAGTTACATACCTGCCAGATTACGGGTCCCTGGAGGATAGTGTTTAGGCCTCAGCACTCTCACCACTGTGGCCCGGGTTCGATTCCCAGCCAGGGACCCGACTCCAGCCACTGGGGTTACGCGTGACTGTGCACTCCCAGTGCCGTTCTCAAGCCTGTATAAAACTGGGAATGGCTGCTTCTGGAAGGGCATCTGGCGTATAAACTGTGCCAAATCAAATGTGCGGACCGATGATCATCTGTGGCGACCCCTAACAGGAGCAGCTGAAAGAACAACATATCTTCCACATTATTTATACAAGAATATTATTATATTATATTTCCTAGAGTAATCCAGACACTTGTTAAGCACTGGAATATTCAACAAAATGGAGATTATGTAGAAAAAATTATACACTTTTGTGTAAAATTAAACACTTATTTGCAATAAACAGGGGAAATTAAAAAAAAAAAATTACAGGTTGCATTTAACTCATTCTCATAAAGAGTCAAAATTGACATAGGACTAATTGTTAAATTAAATAAGCAAGACATATACACCAAACCCAATAGTGTGTGTGAAAGCAGCAAAGCTTTGACACCTGACCCCTGTGCAAGCATTAGATTTGGGCGCACAGCTTTAATATTTGTTTAACTGTTTGATTTGAAGGAATGGGTTATGGTCAGTAGTGCTGTTCACACCTGCTTAACACCAAACACTATCAAAAAGCAAAGCAGAAAACAAACATGGCTAACAAACAACTCATTCAGACGCAGAAAAACAGCAGCAGCGCAAAAAATAAATAAATAAATAAATAAATAACTAGCATCAGCAAAGCTTTAAAAATCACAAGATGCAAATACGAACACAGCGGCCATGACCACAGTAAAGCCGGGTAAAGCCGGGTAAAGCGGTAAAGCCACAGTAAAGCCGGGTAAAGCGGTAAAGCCACAGTAAAGCCGGGTAGGTTACTTACTAATATGACGAGCTTTTTCTTTCAGCAAACAGTGACATTTCACTACACTATAAAAAGACACCAATATATCATAAACTTCAGCATTTATCTAACTAATTAGCATGTGTATTTAAAGTACCAAAGCATTAACCTATGCTAATGTGATGATAGTTCACCGCTTACCAGGCAGCGCTAACTCCTGAGGATAGAGACGATGTACCACACTAGACGTAAAAATTCATCTAAATATTGGAGCTGCCCTGTCCAAGTCTTTTTCTTTCCTTTCAGTCTTCACTTTTTTTTTTTTTTTTACTGTTTTTGTTACAAGAAGCATTCTGAGGTGAGCTACTGAACTGTTAGCAACAAATTGTTTAAAATAAGCACAAAACACACACAGTGATGTAATTGAACCAATTATTAGCGACTTGTATATCACCTGATTAAATTAAGACCTGTGCTATTAGATATAATGGACTCGGTTATCATTTTTTGAGTAAAGTGATGTGTAAATGTCTTCGATGGCCAAACTGAACTACAAATCCTCCCCAGGTTTACAAGCGTCTCTGACTTTCTTCATACTCGTGTGTAGCCTATATATACACCAATCAGCCGCCAGTTACCAAGCGCGTGCACGGCACAGCTGATTTACATTTAGTGACGCCTACAAAACTCCATAAAAGGCAAAAAAAAAAAATATCAGAACTCACGTAGAGCCGAAAATGACGAAAAGGATTAAACTGTGAAAGAGCGCCTCCTAATGTCGGAAAGCACGAAACCTTCCCGTAATCTGGAAAAACCTTCTCAGCCATCCCTGCTAAAAAAAAACAAACAGTAGTAACCCTCATAGAATTTGTAATGGTTTTAATGGTTATAATGGAAATCTAGTGGTTTTAATGGAAACTGTAATGGTCCCTGTGGTTCTCTACTGGTAATTTGTTGGCTTATACTGGTGGCATGTTATGTCTAGTGGGTACCATTAAGGACCAGTACTGGTAATGGTTTTAATGAGGAGCTGATGGTTTGTAATGGTATTTGTAGTGGAAACCATTAGAATTTCTGTGATGTTTCCTATTGATTTTTTTCAGCAGGGATTGTATAGCATCTGGAGGCACATTCATTCATTCGTTCGTTCGTTCGTTCATTTGTTCATTTGTTCATTTGTTCATTCATCTTCAGTCCATCAAAGGCCACTATGTGCACACACATTCACACTTCAGGGCAATTTTACTTAGCCAATCCACACCGCAGCATGTTTTTTTTGCATAGGGTGCCATTACTTTTGTCCTAATTGACAGGCTACTCTTATTTGTCATAATTTATGAATTTGTTGTGGATTGCTTTTTTCAAGTCATTAATATGAAACAACCAAGTTTTGCAGTATTTTTATTTAATTTGTCAATGCAATTATAACAAATACGCTTTTTAAATTGAAATGTAATCTATCTATAAAATTGCAATAACTCCAGTCAATGAAGATTCATGTTAGTGAGTCCTATGTGTAAAAAAAAAAAAAACTCAGGAGCTCTCTTAGGATATAAACATTCTTCTGAACTAACTAGATGTTTGTGAAGACCCCATTTCTTGTGCAAATGATCCTGCAAACGATTTTACAAATAAACTCATTTGTATCCAGCTTGATAAATGAGGCCCATTGTACATTTCTCAGACCTCCCAGATCTCTAGAAAATCAGGAAAACCATGCATTACCTTTCAAACTCCACAACGTTAGCACAAAATAGTGCAATATATCATGAGGAAAAGGCCTCAGTTAAATGTGTAATGAATGAAACATAACTGGGAATGCTTTTATAGGAAAAATAATCATGACAGGTTAGTGTGACATGAAGCACAGTTACTGTTACCACTCCAAAGCTGATTATTTTCCACTAACAGCATGTCCCAATATGTTTTATTCCACTTATACCACAGCAAATAGCCAGCAATTTCAATTTTGAATTTATTAATGAACGTCATGTCATACTTTTTAACATTTAATGCTGTGGAATGTCCATGAGACAATCAGCTCCTGTTCTCACTTATGTTATTGCAACTATAAACAGTCATTCCCTCACCTGCCTCTCTTTTTCCCTCTCGTTAAATTAATAAGATTAAATGCTTGAACAATATGTTTAATTAGTGGGGGCAGTCAGAGAGTCTTGTACTTGTAACCCAAAGGTCGTGGGTTCGAGTCTCGGGTCCGGCAGGGATTGTAGGTGGGGGGAGTGAATGACCAGCGCTCTCTTCCACCCTCAATACCACGACTGAGGTGAGTCCCTTGAGCAAGGCACCGAACCTCCAACTGCTCCCCGGGCGCCGCAGCAAAAAAAGGCTGCCCACTGCCCTGGGTGTGTGTTCACGGTGTGTGTGTGTTCACTACTGTGTGTGTGCACTTGGATGGGTTAAATGTAGAGCACAAATTCTGAGTATGGGTCACCATACTTGGCTACACGTCACTTCACCTCAATTAAATAATAAGCTTGTCATGTTACCAAGAAAGCAGAATGTGCAAAATCCTCTCGCCTGAAGACTTTCCTGAGTCATAAAACTTAAATAACATGTATTTTAATTTGTTATGTGGAGCATCTGCCTGTGAGTGAGTAGTTACTGTAGAAATGATGTTAAATATATTACGTATTACAATAAGTACTTTAATATAAACCTGTGATTTGAATTGCAGCTGCACTACTCAGAGATGCTGTTATAGAAAATTAATCAACATCTTCTGACTAATCAGATTCAAGAATTGATCATGTATTTGGTATAGCCTAACAGAAAAGGAAACTATAACCATGCAGTAGATTAATTTGGCTTTCATTGTCTGCTTCTAAAAGGCAGAAGGAATGAGCTAGAATGCGCTAGGAATGAGCATAAATGGAGTGATTTAACTTTTGGATAGTGTTATTATCCACACTACTACAGTTCAGAGTAAGCAATTAGCCACTCAAGCTCACCTGAGTCATGCAAAAGTGCGAGTGCACCAGCTGGCATTTGCTGTAACTTGTTATTATGGCTGAGGATAAAAATACAACCCTGTATAGAGGAACACATTTCACCTCATCATACACAAATACCTCAAACAAGGCTTTGAATTTAATAGAAATTGTGCTCTTAAAGACTTTACTGGAGAGTGAGAGTGTATCATAAGAAAAAACATTTCATATTTTTTAGATTTGGACTGAGCTGAAACTGAATTGAAATTGACATTCATTTCACTGTGGCTGCATTCCAAAATTCCAGAAAATGTGAATTAGAAAACAGACGTCTGTGCCCCACAATACAGACTGTTTCAAAAAACATCAAATGTATTTACAGCTCAGTTGCTCTTTAATGACCTTTTCTGTGAATAAGCGTGACAATGAAAGCTCCAGCAGGTTCAGCCATTTATTGTTTGCCTTGTTTGTTAGTATTGAATTATTCTTTTCTATGATTTGAAAAGAAACTGGCATGTCATCATGAATAACTCTTTTGTTCCCTACAATAAATACATGCATTGCATTGTGGCCATGTTAGATACGGTTTTCTTCTAACTGAACGCACAATAGCCTTAATAAAATCAGTTAGAGGAAACATCATACAGGTAATTACATCAACCTATTCAAACCTCTTCTTATTAAAGCCTAGCTTTGCTACGTGTGAAGAAATCACAAGAAACATCACCATTTCAGCTCAGCCTGCTTTGTCTCTTTTCTTTTTTGTTCCCTGGGGGAAAAATGCTGTTTTGGAGACAGCACAAGGGTGTTTATGGACACCCACTCAGTTTGTCTTTCTGCAGCTCTTTCTAAAACATGGGCTTGCCTTGTAGTTCATAAATCAAGGTCAAGATTTCAAAGGTTAAAAAAAAACAAAAAAAAACAAGTTCACCAGCAGAATACCACACAGTGACAAACAAATAAATATTTACAGATGTCTCTTATATTTACCTTCCAGTTTTTCACCTCAGAGTGTAAGAAAAGCAGAGTGAACTGTGGTATAATTACTGTGGTAGAGTTACAGCTAATTCTGAATAAAATCCAGCAAATGGCAACATGTAAAACGAAAAACGTGATAAAACGTGATAAAGCACTTTCACAGTTTGTCGAGAGAAAATTATACTTTTGGTTCTTTGTTATTTGGTTTGATTTCACTGAATATAATTTAAAAAATGAAATAAAGAAAATCAGAAAA